GTGTGTTCAGATTCTTTTCATCAAGTATAGACTATAACCACTCTGAATGAAGGTCCTGTGTCCTACTTTCAGAGAACTTCAGTGTAACTAGGCTTCTGAGGAGATAAGCAGGATAAAGAGTATAACCTCGAAAGTGCTATATTATGGGGTAGTATGTCCTGATTCCCAACAAAGACAAGGCTATGATGTGTAGAAGAATAAGGGGTTGAAATTGTGGGTGTGTGGGGTATCAGTCTTGGACATGTGGAGAGTTAGCAATTAGAAGCTTCTGCCAGCAGTGAATCCAGCCAAGTTTGAATACTGCAGTGTGTTCTGTTTGTTTTTGCAGCACGGGGATTGAGCCCAGGGCATCTTGCATGTGCTAGGCAATTGCTATCCCACTGAGCTACATTCCCAGCCTATATGTAAATGTGTCTTTATTATTATCATTATATCTTCTTGTGTTATTTCTCCACCAGTACAGAATAGCTTGTGTATAGAAAGGAAGAAGAAAGGTGATTGGAAAGAACCAAACATGAAGTTTTGTAGAGTGGCTATAACAGAAGAAACTAAATGTAAAACATTTAAGATTTGGTGAGAGTCATTAGAGGGATTTAGCATGAAGTTTTTACAGAAGGAACAAAGCCTTAAATGTAATGAAGGATCAGAGGGAAAGGAGCATTGAAGGTTTATAAGAGGTAGAAGAGCAGAGCAATTGTTCTCAGAGTAAGGAAGCTTGAAGGAAAGGTGTAGCAAATCTGCAACATGGAATCTGCATACGTCTTCCAGATCAATGATTACCAAACTGTTTTAGTTAGCCTTTCATTGCTGTTACCAAAAATATCTGACAAAACAATTTAGGGGAGAAAATGTTCCTTTTGGCAATCAGTTTCAGAGGTTCAGTCAGTGGTTGGACAACTCAACAACTCTAGGCCTAAGGTGAGGCATAACATCCTGGCAGAAGAAAATCAGCTCAGGACATGGCAACCAGGAAGAAAGAGAGCTCCACTCATCAAGGACAAATGTAAACCCCAAAGTCATACTCCCAGTGACCTATCTCCTCCACACTGTACCTACGCAGTTACCACACATATATCAATGGATTAATTTACCAATAAGGTTACAACTCTCATAACTTGATTGTTTTACCTCTGAACATTCTTAAATATTGTCTCACACGTGAGCTTTTAAGAGGCCCCCTCATATCTAAACTATGACACAAACATTTTCTATAATGAGCCAGAGAGTAGTTATTTTCTGCTTTCCAGGCCAATATGGTTTCTGCTACAACTTCTCAACTCTTCCCTTAGATCATGAAGGCAGTCTTAGACATTAATTAAATGGGCATGGTTGTGTTCCAGTTATCTTTGTTTACAAAAACAGGTTGTTGGACTAGATTTTTCTCAAGGATTGTAATTTGCTGATTGCTGTCACAGATGATGACAATTTCCAGGATGTGGATGATGACAGGCTGAGCTGAAGACTGTTAGAAACTAAGAGCTTAATGTCCCTTAAGGTTAAAATGTTGGCTGGGTATAGTGGTGCACTCCTGTAATCCCAGCAACTTGAGAGGCTTAGGCAGGAGGATCACAAGTTCAAGACCAGCCTCAGCAATGTGGAGAGGCCCTTAGCAACTTAAGGATAAAGGGCTGGAGATGTAGATCAGTGGTAAAGCCCCTGGGTTCAAATCCCAAGGACAAAAAAAAAGTAGGTAGGTAGGTAGATAGATAGACAGTATATGGATACATACATACATATGAAAAACATCATGACCTAATAAATCTTTGTAGAACACTCCATCCAAGGACAACAGAATAAACATATCCTTCTTAAGTATGCAAGAAATACTCTCCAGGACAGACCATATTACTAAACCATAAAACAAGCCTTAGTAGAGGACTAAAATCATTCCAAGTATATTTTTGACTCACGTGGAGTGATATTAATAACAGAAGGATTGTGGGGGCGTTCACAAATATGTGAAAACCAACACACTCCTAAATGGCTAACAAGTCAAAGAAGACACAAGAAATTAGAAAAAATACTTTGATATCAGTGAAAAGAACAACACAGAATATTAAATACAAGATGCAGCTAAACCAGTGCTTAAAGGGAAGTGTACAGTTTTAAATGCCGACATTGAAAGGAAAGAAAACTCTCAAATCCATGACTTAAACTTCTCCCTAAGGGGAAAGAAGGAGCAAAAAATCACAAGTGTCTGAGAGGGAATCAAATAGCTCAGATAGGGAAACTGGCCCTTGGTAAAAACAGCTTGCCATTGTAACTGGACATTAGGCTAGGAGGGTGGGTCATGTGTTTCCATTGAGAAGATAATGAAGTTGCTTTCTGCTGCCTTTTATTTTCTTGATAAAGCTGGACTTGAAGTCATCTGCAGAGTACAGGAAAATGGAGCATTGGAGGTCTGAGGATAGTGAAGGAGAGTTGAGATAATTTTCATGCACGGTGATTAAAATAGTCCTCTGTAGAAAAAAACCAGAAAACTACTAAAAGTTTCAAGTTTATTGAGGATGATTTGAGTTTGATGATCATGAATTATAAAATAATTACTGTACTGATTTTGTAAGAGTCATCTTGCTAATTCTCTCTCTCTCTCACCTCAGTACTTGGAATGAACCCAGGGCTGCTCTACCACTTGGCTCCATTCCTAGTCCTTTGTTTTTCTTTTTCTTTTTTCTTTTCCTTTCTTTTTTTTTTTTTTTTTTTTGAGGCAGGGCCTCACTGAGTTGCCCAGATGGCCTCAAATTTGGTGATCCTTCTACTTAAGCCTCCCAAGTCACTGGGATTACAGGCAGATGATTCCACCTCCCCACACATGGGGGGCGGGAGGGAGGACACTATTGTTCTGCCCTGTAGTGTGATTCCTGTGGGTAAAGGCACAGAAAAGGCAAATGTTTGTATTCGTGTAGGGCTACAGTTTTGTTATATGGGTGGGATGAAATAATAGAAGAGAACAGAAGTTTAGGATATTGAAATGATAGGTCATGGTCAATAAACTGGATAAGAAAAAAAAAAAAACTACAGAAAAGGAGGAAAACAACAAATGAATATAGAGGGGTCAGTTAACTAGCAGTCACCAGAAAGTCTAAAATCCAAATCAGCTCTGCAAAGGTAAGGAACCTTTGTTCTTCCTCAAATCTCTGTGCTAGCACCTGCAATAGGTGATAATTTAATAAACAAGCAGAAAAATGTGAAATTTTAGTCAGATATGGATTAGTGATAACAGGAGGTTATTCATTCTGCATAACATGTGCCTTGATATGTACATATAGTATGTTCCCACTAATAATTAGCCTTATTATGCTTTTTTGGACTTTTATAGGAACTATTTATTTTCACAGAAATATAGAGCCATTTTCTGCAAATGCATGAGTTGACCTTTTCCAAGTGAATATCCTTTGAGGTCATTGCACAATTAGGGTTGTTAGATTTGACCTAATACGGGAAAAATACGCAGACAAAGCACTAGTAGAAATTATCTTCCTTTCTCTCAAAGCCAAAGTCTAAGGACACTGGCTTCTGATGCCTTCAGTTGTTTTATTGTGCTTATCACCTGTGTAGACAGTTTTATATTTACATTGCTGAATCACCTCTCTAAAGTATATTGACCTTTCAGTAGGTTTTAAAAAGCTTCTCTTTTGCTTTTTGTCTAGGACTAAAGTGTCATTCAAAAATAGAGATGATTGTTTACCAAAGCAAAAGGTTACATAAGACTACTAAAATGATAATAAATCTAGTTTTTAAGCCATGCCAGTTTTTTTTAAATGAATTAATTGAATCAAAGAGTTATTTCAATTTTGAGGATTGAGAAATACTGTCCTTCATATCGCTTTTAGATGACTTGCATGTCTTTCAGATATGTTTTCTTCTCGTGCCCCATAGTAAAAGTACTTATAGAAAGTAGATATTCATTAATTCTGTCCTGTTGATCTTTAATAATAAACTAAGCCATTCTCTGAAATGTGCTTCCCTCTACCTCTTTGCCTGGTAAATTGCTTTTATAATTTACTTCAGATATCACCTCTGAAATTATTCCTAGCTCTTACAGGCAAAATGAATAGGCCTCTGTCCTTTGAGTAGCTTACACCTATTTTCTGTTGTGTGTTCATTATGTATTATACATCTGTTTCTCATTCTTGCCTTTTGTCTATCAAGGAGCAAGGACTTTGGCTTATGCATCTTTAGTGTCTCCAGTGTTTTGCAATGAAGTGTCCTAAAACTGATAGCAAGAAAACTTGTTTTAAAGCTCACTGTAGGCCTAGGTTGAGAAACTCTACCCAGTTTAAAATTTCCCTGCAGCTAGGATACCACTGTCAGGTGAGCAATGATTAACTGAATATGGCCTCATGATCCAGCCAGTAGAAGTGATTAACTCATAGAAAGATTAGCCTTTTTTCCTGTACCCATTTTTTAAAATTGAGAGTAATACTTAGTCAACACTCTATGTGTTTGTTAAAACTAAAACTGTCAATCAAAATATTAACAGTGGCCATATTTGGGTGATATTTCAGTTTAACTTTTTTCATTAGGTATCCATTTTGTCTTTGTTTGACAAAACGTTTGTTTCAGGTCATATTTTGGGGAAAAAAACTTAACTATTTCCAGTTTTTTAAATTATAGTACATGTGGAAACATTGATGAGAAAAAATACTTTAGGACAATTTGGAACCAATCAGAGTTGAATCAAGATGAATCAGTCTGTGGTTGAGGAAAGCAAGTTTATTTGCTTCAGGTTAACTGGGACTCTTCTCTATCCAGTCTCTGAGATCCAAGCCTCCTCCTTCTCATAGTGGTTTCCAAAGTTGCTCTAGCCAGGATAGGGTAAAACAGAATTGACCAGCCACCTGGCTCAGCACATGTCACTTGCCTTGGCCAAAACCAGTCTCAGAGACCAAATCCTACTGAAAAATAGAATGGAAAATACAGAAAAGCACCTGGAATCTAGTATATGGTAAATACCAGTTGTCTCTGCCAACATGACCATAATTCTTTTTATTTTTTAGTTACTGTAACGAATGTATGTTGGATCCAGACTGCGGTTTCTGTTACAAGATGAACAAATCAGCTGTCATTGACTCTTCTTGTGTGCCCGTTAATAAAGAATCCACAAATGAGGCAGCCTGGGGCAGGTATGTTACTCATTACTAAACAAAAGAATGTCTAATACAATTTTAATATGTGTCTGATTTCTAATATTTCAGGGTGTCTTGCACCGGTTCTTTTTAAGCTGCATGTACTGGTGATGGGTGCAAAGCGTTGCACCTGTGATAGTTCATACTTTCAGAGAAGAAAGCACTCAGGCCCAGACTTCTGGAGGCCTGAAGTCCAGACTCAACTCTGCCTAATAAACCACAGTAATTGGGATCTTTAGTTTAAGGCAAATATTCACAAATATTGCCAAGGCAGTTTTGCCACTATGTATTATATACCTACGCTGTAAAATTCCAAACTAGAATTTCCTGAACTTAATGGTAATTGTAAGGTCAAAATGAATTAATGCCACTTTACATACTTTCATGGAACTAATTTTTTCTAGAGTACTTTCCTAGGATTCAATGAAGCTAAGCAAAATAAGGATAAAATTTGGAAATCATTGGTGTGCAGCCTGTCTGGTAGCCTGTATCTCTTTCTAACAGTACATATTAGTTTATAGTAGAGACATAAATGAAACCTTTAAATAGAATAAATCCTTCCCACATTTATGAACTAATATTCATATTCTTAGACACATAAAATGTGTAAATGTACAAATGATATGGCTTTTAACTCTTCTGTGGTTTAAATTCTCATTAAAAGGAGTAATATGCTCTCATACTGTCTACCTCATAGTACCTATTATAAAGGCAATTGAATCTTTAAAGTACTTGTATCGCCTGTGAACTATAAAATATAATGTATTAGTATTAATCGTTATGCTGTTACCATTAATCATTGTATTAGGGAATTACTCCAAAGAAGTAAACTTTATGGTAGTTGAGGGAAAGTCCAGACTGCATTTTAAATATGATAACAACAAAGAAAGATGTAAAAGAAATGCAGTTGTTATTTTAAATGAACCTTTAAAAGAACTTTGAGTATATGTAACTAGTTTATAGCTTTACACCCCTAGCTTTTGGTTTTGTTTTTCCCAGGAGAGAAAGTTACTAGTCTAGAATCATGAACATGTGATGAAGTCTGTTTAGCAATAATAAATGAATATGGTTTCCCATATTTCACAGAATTAATCTGTAAGCTTATTAGAAATGTCTACTAATAAATAGTAAGGAGTACTAAAATTAGATGTATTTCTCACCCTCAGTAGGTTTATAAGTCAGAAGCTTCAAAACTGGAGTTTTATTCTTATGTTTTGCAAATAAATTATATAGCATTTTAGTGGAAATGTATATATTAGTGGGTTTTTTGTGAAGAACAATTTAGAAAGTTATTCTTACATTTTATTTATATTTTTGTATCATTATCCTATGACTACATACACTACTAGAGAAAGATGAGGCACAGAAAATAAATAAAACTAACTTAAGAAAATACTTAAGAATTTCTATGTTTATAGCATATTGTTAGAATAATCTCAAAGCATTTAGAATAAAGAAAAATAAAATCACAAATTTTTCTTACTCTTTCTTCCCTCTGCTGGGAAACAGCCTTTCTCTTAACCTGACCACTGCTGTTGGTTACATCAGTCTTTGCTAAAAAGAGATCAAAAACGGTGGGATGCATTCACTGTGAAAATTCTTAGGACAAGTTTTCCATTTGTAAGACTACTATAAAGTACACCATCAGGTAAACAAGAGAAAGCTGTACATGTGAAAGATGGCCAAATGAATACCTACATTACAAAACACCCCAGTTTTTGAAAGAGAATTTGAAATAATATTTAAAAGAAATAAGGGATATGATACACTTTTGTGAAATTATGCTGAAAGCTATATGCTATAATGTGTACACTGTCTATGTATATATGTATATATATATATATAATGTGTTATCAGTAAATTTTGAAAAAAAAACTATAACCTACAAACCTACAGTTCAAGATACATAGTAGTATAGAATGTGGTATGAGAACTTAACATTTAAATTATGAACTATTAAAAGGAGAAACAATAAAATCAAACTAATAAACAGAGGAAAGACACACACACACACACACACACACACAGAATGATGGTTAAGGGAAATCACAGAAAATCCAATAGAACTGAATATAAACTTAACTCACTACAATAAAAATACAAACCAATAAAGCACCCCAATAAAGGCAAACATCCTCATACTGAGTTTTTTTATTTTATTTTTTTAAAGACAGCTATTCACTATTTACAAGAGATCACAGAAGGGATGGAAACACAATGAAAACAAATAAGTGCTAAATCAAAAAGAAAAAAAAAATAGCAGAAATCAAAGAACTTTGGAAATTTAAAAGCTTTATGTAAGATTTTGTGCACTTAACAAGTAGAGTACTTCATTCTTTTCAAGCAAATCCAGAACACTTATGAAAATTTTCATGTTCAAGCAAAAAAATAAATTTAATAAATTTATATAAATGCATCTATTCCAGAAGATTCTAAATATATTCAAATAACCAATACCATGCAGAACACGTTTTCTAATCAAAACGCAATAAGTTTGCCAAACAATAACACAATAGTTATCACCTCTTCTACTTCAGCTTGGAAACTAAATACAAAATCTAAACTTCAAGTTAATTAATGAATTAAGAAGACAACTGAGGCTGTGGCTCAGTGGTAGAGCGCTTGCCTAGCATGTGTGAGGCACTGGGTTCGATTCTCAGCACCACATATAAGTAAAGGAATAAAATAAAGGTCTACACATCTAAAAAAAAAATTTAAAAAAAAGAAGTCAGCATAATGGAAAACAAAATTCAAAATCAATAGTTAAACAGATCCATAAGAAATTAGAACTAGAATAAAGACCAAACCTGCCGAGGAAACAGAGGATAAAAATTAGAAAGATAAGTGAGGAGTGAAATAAAGCAAAGAAGTACTAGAGAGGATCAAGAAATAAAGATGGTTGATTTTACAGAACAATAGAATGAAGAAACCTCTGGCAATACTGATCAAGCGGTAAAAAATGCACAAACAATAGTTGGTCGGGGGGAGGCATAGAAGAGATAGCAAAGATTGTTCAAATCTTAAGAGAATTCCATGAATAATATTCTCCAGTTCAGGTGAGGATGGCCTAGAGGATCTGAATGACTTTCTAAAAGTCAAGAGGCCCGTAGACCACCTTATTTGGGGGCAGCATCAGTTAAGTAATAGAAAAACATACTTTTAGAATGAAGTGACTATGAATTTGGGCTTTCATTATTTACCTCATAGTTTGGTCCTGGGACAGACTGGGTGTCTCTGAGCCACATTCTTCATCTGTAAAATGGAAACAATATAATTGTTGTGCTGAACAATATGGTTGTTAGGAAGATCAAATAAGAGCTTATCTGAAGATATTGTGAAAACAATGCTTTATAAAAATATCTTGTATGAATTTTTCTTTCTCAGTAATGTGTTTTCTCGTCAGTAACAGGTTTTGCATTACAATAAGCATTTCCTAATAGATAAGTGCCTTAGAATACTGTTTATGTGTTTGTGTCTATTCATCCACCTCCATACCTCCTGGCTCTCTATATATACACCATAAATAATTCTATTTTGGAACTTTAAACCTGCTGACTAAAAATATCACTAATGAGGGATATTTCTTAATGTGCTTATTCAGTATTTGTTTCCTCTAATACAGCATTTTGCTTTGTAATTAGAAACACTAAAATAGCTAGATAGATTCCCTATTTGGCAATCCATTGTTCATTGTATTCATTCAGCAAAGATGTTTTTCTCAGAGCCGTGCTGTGCCACAACATTCAGCCTGTTTTCTCTGCATCTGACCATTTATTCTCCTGTACAGAATTCTAGTCAAGGTAAACCCCTTGCCATCTCCCAATGTCCACTGTGACTTCCTGCCTCTTATACCTTTCCTCATTCTGTGCATTCTGCCTAGGATTAACCACCCTCTTTCTCCTTTTTGATCTCTGCTTGAGTTATAATCATCATTTTTTTCCCAGAGCAGATGTTGCGTTTTTCCTTGCAGTCTCCGATTAGCCCCAGAAAACAATGCTTATTACATCCCCTTCTGTCCTCTGGCACGAACATTGTAGTAAACTACAAGAGATATGTCGTAGCTACAAGATTAATGATAGCCATGAGGCCTGTTCAAGCGTCACCCAGGGCCAACAACACACGTTACTTGACAGTATGATATAACCTGGCCCAGGGATTGCCTGGAAACTAGGATACCTCAGTGCACACGCAGCTCTTTAGACATCTTAGAGCAAAGCTCACCTTGACAACAAGTTTAACCTCCCTTGGTGAAACCTGGAAACCAACTCATACTGAATATAGGTATAAGGGGAGAAGAATCACCAAACTTTGAGAATGGTCTCCAAATGGAGACCCCCACACAGGTGGTCATCTGACCCCTGGTTGGTTGTGACCTATGCCATCAGCCTGCTCTGGTGTCTGACTTGTCACAGCACTGCCAGAGCAGCCATGTCTGGGACTCATCTTTGATAGGAGTCAGACAGAAAGGGAAAAGTTGCCCATGAGGAAGCTGGTTAACTAGGACCACTCAGAACCCCAAACAAGGCATTTATATAACTTGTATGGTAATTATACTGGCTAATGTGTATCTTCTTGCCTAAGATAGAAATTCCAATACCTGTGCCCTGCAGTGTTTTTAAACCCTGAGTAATTTGTATACATCAATAATTTTAAAATTTTGAAAGTTTGAAATTATCCATAGTTCCAAATGAGAGGTTATTATATTCTAATCATTTCATTTGAGTTACCTCTTCTACATTCATACTTATTTTTAAGAAATGAAACATGTAAAAGAAAAAATGAAAGTAATAGAATTTTAATTAACATAGAGTGTCTGTGCTTACCTAAGACCGTTTGAGATTTTAATTTTTTTAAAATTTTTATTTATTTATTTATTTATTTATTTATTTATTTATTTATTTATTTATTTTTATTTGCATTTCTGGGGATTGAGTCCAGGGGCACTCTGTAACTGAGCTACATCCCCAGCCCTCTTTATTTTTTGAGACAGAGTCTCA